CTCGCACGAAAGCGCGCGGATCGGGAGATATTTAAAAAAAACTAAATAAAATGATTATAAAAAATAGAACTAATCAAGAAAACAAGCTAATTAGTGTTTGACTAATCAGCCCGTGCACCCCCGTTGGTTGGGGAAGGCCGCGGCCTTGGGGGTGCTGCTCCCCTCCCCGGCAACGGCGCCAAAGTTGTGAGGAAACCCGAGGAGGGGTCACCTACCGCTCACTGAAGCCAAGGGCAACGGCGCCTGTCAGTCGCCGCGCTCGCTTCAGAGGTCCTCAGCGGTCGGTAGGGAGTGTTGTTCAGATCGCCAGTCACTTCTCACTTAAAGTTGGCTTTTATCTTCCCCCACTGCATACTTAAATAATACGAAAAAGCAAAACAAAGAAAACAAAATGTACAAATCTGATATGAAAGTTTGCGACTCAAGCAAAATCAATGCCAAGGGTCTCTCCTCCAACACCCTGATTAATTCTTTTTTTTTTTGTCAGGCATCGAGGCTGGTAAGGCCTTTCAGGACTGGTTCATTAGTTAGGGCTGTTTTCTCACTTGGCCACGTTTTTCCTCTTGGCACTACACTCCGTGGACATAGCCATTATCAGATTACCGCAGTGACAGCAAACATTCACCAGCTCANTGTCTGAGGACGTGTGGCTTTGGACGTACAGAGAGCACCAACCGGGGCAAGGAGTGGGCGTAGTGAGAGCCTACTTATATTTGGGAGCGGGTGCGGTCAGGGAGGCCGTGGTGGGCCTCGCGACGACAGGGACTAGTGACGCAGTTAGCAGGGCACTGCGCTACCTAGGGGAAGAGGTAGCTGTTTTCCGAGCGGAGGATGCGAGCGACCCGTTGACCCTATTTCACGGACGCCCTCCTCTTGATATCACGAGGGAGCTGGTGGTAGCACCGGACTAGTTTTTTCTGTACAGCGTTACGAGCCTGCGGGCGATAGTTCCGCCGTTCGTAGTAGAGAGCGTCTTTGGGGGTATTGGTGGAGTGGTCGAGACATATCTGGCCTATCAGGATCTCAAGATCCTGGCGAGAAGGCCTGCCGACCTAAACTACATCTATTATTCACTTGCGACCGGTGGGTCTCGTTGGGGAGACGAGAGGGTTCAGCTTATAGAGTTGATCCGCTCGATAGACGACGAGTGGCCCCAGCATTCGTGCGTTTGGGATTGGCTAGACCGTGAGCTCCGAGCAGGCCCCGAGTACGTGACTTGCATCGGGCGGCTCTTCTCAGACGACTGGGGGAGCTGGTGGAGTGAGGACGCCGGGCGACCTCTGATATACGGTCATCCGTTGACGGAATACTACCAGGCCATAGGACAGGCGCCATACCGCGTGGAGGACGAGTTTGACGACGAGGGCTGGGAGCGAGAGGACGACGAGGAGCTGTGGGAACCAGACTGGGTCGACCCAGAGAGAGAGGTTCACGAGGAGGAGATTGACGTTTTAGACGCCCATTTTCTCAGGATAGGAGTAGCGGTCCGGGCGTAGGAGGTAGAGGAGCGCGCCAGGGCGACGGTTGAGTGAGCCTGGCTACTGAACCTATTCGACCATACTGGACCTGAGTGCGAGAGTTGTCAGAAGGGTTAGCAACGTCGAAAGATGGGGTGTATCGGAGGGAGTAGAGTGATGCTGACCGAGAGTAGGAGAAGAAATGAGGAGTGATTCAGCGGCCGGGTTAGCTTATGTTTTCTCACGGGAGTCCGAATCGTATAGTGTGAAGAAGCTTGTGGGACCCAGAGAGACGGCGGTTGGATACGACATACCACTTCCTGTGGCGCTAAAAGAGGCAGGGCGTGTACCGATACAATACTTGGGAACGTGGCTCGCTGAGGGGCTCTTCCTATCGACAGTGATACTACGAGACGAGCGACCCGAGAGGACTCATGATCTAGAAGGGGTCGGACATCTAATAGCAGATAGAACACACGATTTGGAGATAGGGCTAACGCTCGCAGGGGCGAGCAGGAGTTGGTGGAGAAGCGAGTTGTTGGCCAGAGTGATCGTTAATCAGCAATTGGCGAGACTTGCTGGAGAGAGGACGAGTAGGAGCTGTTTGCTATACGGTCCACCACATCCGACCCTCTACCCGAGAAAGGATTGGCGGTTCGGAGTTCCTACCTTCGTGATAGGGCAGACCTATGGGAGCGTGGATCGTTTGAGGAGAGCAGTGGATCACACACTTTACGCGCTCTGGGAGGGCTTAGCGCCCCGCTTCAAGGAAGTATACTACGCCATTTGTGTGAGGTGGGGGCCGCCCAGTAGAGAGACGCTTGGCGACATCATAGATGTTACGAGCTGGATGGACTGTCTGAGGCCTATCGATCTGATTAGGTACTGCAGGAGACGGGCAAAGATCGATTACGCGGGGCTAGAGGATGCGAGATTTCTCTTCGAGGTCGCAGCTTAGGAAATGCCGGGAAGGACGGCCACGGTGATGCGTGTAGAAGAGCAACTGGTAAGTACATGATACACTGTGACTGTACTTCTCCGAGCGTACGTAGACGAGGACTTGACGGCGAGTGAGTGCAGACAACGAGCTAGGGATTTGATCCACGAGCGTAGAGCTGA